TCCCATCCAACCTAGCCCTCTCTCCACGGAAGCCATTCCCTGTGTCCTGTCCCTCCATGCCTTGTCCCCAGTCCCTCTCCAGCTCTCCTGGAGCCCCTTTATGCAGCTACAGAGCTCTGGCTGCCCCTGGATCCCTGGAAGTGTCCAAGGCCAGGTTGGAGCACCCTGTGCTGGTGGAAGGTGTCCCTGCCCATGGCAGGGGGTGGGACTGGGTGGGCTTTAAGGTCCCTTCCAACCCAAACCATTCCAAGATCCACATCTGCAGTTCCCAACACCCCCAGAAACAAAGGAAGAAAACAATAATCTGTATTTCAGTGTGAAGAACCAGCTGAGGCTCCACCATGACCACCAGACCAGGCTGAGGTTTGTCCCCACACGGATTAACACAGACACAGGGACAGGTTTTAGCCCAGTTCCATCCTGCTCCACAAACAGACACCTCTGGTGGAGGCAGATCCTTTCAGCTGGAATTTCTTACCTGGATAAAGCTACAAACCCCACTCTGTGCCTTCAGCTTCCACCCACACACTCCACAGGAGGAAACAGGCCAAGCCCTTGGCATCCACTGCCCTTCCCACAATCAGCCTCCTCCCCTTTCCCAAGGACAGACAGGTTCTCCCACTGCCCCTGCAGACATTCCTCACTCGTGGCCAACAAGGAAAACACATTTACAAGAGCCAACTGCAGACATTCCACAGGCTGAACACAACTGAAGCTGCAAAAAGCAGCCCTGGCAGGTGGCAGCACTCAGGGTGAACCCACCTGTGGGTTATTCAGGCAGAGAACACAACAGCAGCTCAACATTTGAGCTTCATCAGTGAAAATCAGCTTTTTCTCTCCCAGAATGAAGTGATTTCACTTCAACAAAATATTAAAAGCAGCTGCAAGGAAACACAAGAAGTCTGCACAAAGAAAACTGGAATATCATCAGGTTAGGAAAGAACAGAACCTCCTGTTCCCACAGAAAACAGACACAAAGGAGGAAGAGAAGAAATTTCAAGTCAAGAAGAAAACTCAAGTTTTCCATGAAGAAGATGCATCTTCTACGAGCAACTCATCAGAATGTGCTTTAACCCACATGCACAGATGACGAAAAGCAATTCAGGAGCTTTTGTGAAAGCTTCTCTGAAGTCCACTGTGGCTTTTCCACTTATTGCAGTCATTCCCTGCAGTTTCACTTTCAGTTCTCCCCACCCCAGAGCACTGGACTGGGTGAATTTTTAAGTATTACAGAAAGATAGAAGGAGGAAAAAAAGGAATTCATAAAAAAACAAACAAGGGGGTGTGTCAAAATTATTAAAAAGTGACAGTATTTATATTTACATTCTTTGTGATGCCCCTGGATCCCTGGCAGTGTCCCAGGCCAGGTTGGACGGGGTTTGGAGCACCCTGGGCTGGTGGGGCTGGATGGGCTCAAAGCAACCCAAAGCATTCCATGATTTATCCCTTTACAGGACTGTGACGCTCAGCCCCGGAGCAGAGCGAGGGCTCTTTGAGAGCGCAGTTAAAGTTTGAAGGCTGGGGAGAGGCCGGACAGGAGAAATCAGCTGAACGCTGCGATTGCCCAGAGCCCACCCCGCTGTGAACCCGCACGGGAGCAGCGACACTGGCAGGCGGGACCCCGGGCGCAGCCAGAGCCCTGCCAGGAGCGGTGGCTCGCAGTAAATTGTCATTCAGACACCACAAGCCTCTTTTCCCCCTTCAAATCCGGCCCGCAGAGCCCAAACCCCGCGCGCGGCACGGGCGGCGCGTCCCGGCCGAGGTCAGGCGGTGACACACCTGGACGCGCGGGGCCGGCCCCGCGCCCTCGCGGGCCCGCTCCCTCCCTGTCTCTCCCAATCCCAATCCCATTCCTATTCCCACTCCTATTCCCATTCCCAATCCCAATCCCTCCCCTCGCCCCGGCCCCCGTACCCGCTCCTGGGCGCGACTCTTCCGCCTGCGGCCGCCGAGCCCCGTGACTGACGCGCCCGCCCGCCAATCAGAAGCGAGCGCCGCGCGTCAGCCGGGGGCTGGGGAGGAACGGGGCGCTGCGATTGGTCAATGTGAGGTCGAGTCCCGCCCCCTCTCCCCAGGGCGGGGCGGGAAGGGGCGGGGCCGGAGCGCTCCCGCCTTTCCCCTCAGGCCCCGCCCCTTTCCCTCCGCCATGGCCGCCCCCCCACGGCCCCTCAGAGCCCACAGCGCCACCCACACGGCCCCAGAGAACCCGCCCTCTGCCCCTCAGAGCCCACAGCACCTCCCACACGGCCCCAGAGAACCCGCCCTCTGCCCCTCAGAGCCCACAGCGCCACCCACACGGCCCCAGAGAACCCGCCCTCTGCCCCTCAGAGCCCACAGCGCCTCCCACACGGCCCCAGAGAACCCGCCCTCTGCCCCTCAGAGCCCACAGCGGCTCCCACACGGCCTCAAAAAACCCGCCCTCTGCCCCTCAGAGCCCACAGCGGCTCCCACGCGGCCCCAGAGAACCCTCAGAGCCCACAGCGGCTCCCACACGGCCCCAGAGAACCCTCAGAGCCCACAGCGGCTCCCACACGGCCCCAAAAAACCCGCCCTCTGCCCCTCAGAGCCCACAGCGCCTCCCACACGGCCCCAGAGAACCCGCCCTCTGCCACCGCCCCAAAACCCAACAACATTAATATCTTCAGGCAGCTCCCGTGTCAAAATAGAGAAAACTTCGCGCCCCAAACGCCGTTGCGCCTCAGCCCCGTGACTGGTTTAATAAAAGCAGACGGAACTAATGAGCAGTTGGTAGGATTAAAGAATCATGGAATCATTGAATCAGCCAGGTTGGGAAGGGCGTCTGAGATCATCAAGTCCAACCCTTGCTCCACTGCCCCGGTGGTTACCAGAGCATGGCACTGAGTGCCACATCCAGTCTTGTCCTAAAATACCTCCAGGGACAGAGAATCCACCATTGGGGTTGGGTTGGGAGGGCCAAGCAAAACAGGAGTCACAAAACCATCAATAAACTAACTGAGGAACATATTCCATCTAAAACCATGAAACAAATACGCCACAGAAGATGGATGCTGAATAAAAGCCTTGTGAGAAGGAAAGGAAAAGAACGGGATCGAAGTCAACTGGCAAAGATGAGAGGGTACATCTCACAGACACTGAATTTAAACAATCATGGAATGATTTTGGTTGGAAGGGACCTCAATGCTCACCCAGCGTGACCCCTGCCATGGGCAGGGACACCTTCCACCAGCCCAGGGTGCTCCAAGCCCCGTCCAACCTGGCCTGGGACACTGCCAGGAATGAGGATTAAGGTCACTGAACCAACACATTCTGGGGACAATCAATATGTCTTTGGCTCTGGAATCAGCAGTGATTTCACCCTTTTGAGGTCAATGATAAAACACTTTTCAAATTCAAATTCAAGCTATGGCAGCTCGAAAAATTCCTTCTGAAGGCTGTTCTCTCCTGGCTTCTTCTTCCACAGCAGTTAGCATTCCTTGTCCTAGAAGGATTTACTAAATACTTGTCCTAGCAGGATTTACTAAACACTGTTCTGAAGATTTTGTGAGCTCAGAGCAACAAAATTATAGACCAGCCCTGAAAAAATGTACTCCTCCACACACCTGGGGAAAATAGAAATGTAAATTATTTTTCCCTCTTCATCGTAGATGTTGAAGAAGTGGATTTTTGTGCCTGGCAGTTTTGATGACAACAGTGTCAGGCTGATTTAAAGTGCTGGAGTCAGGTCAGCACTTAAACCTCCATTTAAACCTGAGGAGTCTGAATAAGAACATAAAAATCCCCCCCTCTGCTGATTCATCCATTCAATACTGAATCCAACTTCAATACTGAAACTGCTGATGCTTCACTTCAGCAGGAGCCAAACTGTTTTCCAGCAAGGCTGCATTTACTGCAAACTCGTTTCTGTTTATCTTGTGCAATGAATTCGGTTTGCTCTTTAGATCTCCCACTGGAGTGGTTTAAACAGTAATTCAGATCCAATTCCTGTAGGTCATAATGAGAAGCTAAATGCAATCTTTTAAAGATTATTATATCAAAGGACTTCCAGAAAAGTATGTTTAATTTACAGTTTTCATTCAAAACAAAAATAAATTATTGAAATAAACAGACACAGCTGTTGGAGCCAGGCTGGGAGAGCTGGGGGGGTTCACCTGGAAAAGAGAAGGGTCCAGGGAGACCTTTCCAGGGCCTGAAGGGGCTCCAGGAGAGCTGGAGAGGGACTGGGGACAAGGGATGGAGGGACAGGACACAGGGAATGGCTTCCCATTGCCAGAGGGCAGGGATAGATGGGATATTGGGAAGGAATTGCTGGCTGGGAGGGTGGGCAGGCCCTGGCACAGGTTGCCCAGAGAAGCTGTGGCTGCCCCTGGATCCCTGGAAGTGTCCAAGGCCAGGTTGGATGGGGCTTGGAGCAGCCTGGGCTGGTGGAAGGTGTCCCTGCCCATGGCAGGGGTGGCACTGGATGCCCCATCCAGCCACCCCCACAGCCAGGAATTCCTTCCTAAATCTTGTCAGGACTAATTTGCTGTAACACAGAGGCTTAAAAGACCCAGAGTGTTCACCAACAACTAAATTTCCAAGACCTCTTTCTGTGTTAAAGATACAAAAACGGACTCCTGCACATGTACATTCCAAGTCCAGACATTCAGAATCCTCCCTTCAGGGCCATTTAATTTAACCTTAAATAGATGAACGGATTTTAAAATATGTGCATTGAACCTGCCAACAAGTTATGAGCTGTAAGTGTTTAAATATAAAGGTCAAACTCACACAGCACAGCAAGACTTTTTCTGCCACTTTATCTTTTAATATGTTTTCCTTATGCCTCAATTTTCCCTTCTGAAGAGATAACAGACTGTAAAAGTCGTTACACTCTATGCTAAAGTGAAGCATTAATTGGGATTTAAGCAAAGGTAAAATGACCTGAAAGAGAGTAACAGGTTTAACCCCAAGCACAAGGGAGGTGTGAGGGGCAGAAAAGGCCTGTGCCCAATGACAAAAATTAACTCCACCACAGCCCAAAGTGGCACATTTCCTTTAATAATATTTAAAAATAAATCCATTATTTGTAATGCAAATGCCCATCTGACAACCAGATTTCTTTTAACCAGTGTAACAGTGTGGATTTGGCATTTTCAGTGTACCTGAAATTTCTGTAGTGCAACATTTCATTAATAAAGTGCATTCAAAATCTTCACAAGACACAGGAATTAGGATTAAATTATTTCACTGTAAGGTTTAACCACTTAAACAGATAAGACTTCCACCCAAACCTTTTCCCACCTTCCCCTTGGCTTTCCTTCGCGTCTGGATGAGAAGCCTTTTCCATCAGAGCCTCGTAAGTCTTTTGTGCTCGAACGATTTCCTTCTCTGGGCTGAAATGCACCATCTGCCTGCTCAGGATGGGGACGACCAGGTTGAAGTTGTCAACTCTCTTGTTTAGTTTCCTGATGTCTTCCATGAACTGCTCGCAGATGCGATTCCACTGCTTCTGCTCCAGCGGCGTCATGGGCTCCCTCAGCTTCCTCCTCGAGGCCACCACGCTCTTCCTCAGCCGCTCGATGGTCTCCCGGATCTCCTTCTGCAGCAGGATCCACTCGGGCTGGTACCCGTTGTCAATCAGGATCCTGTTGAGGTTGTGGGTCATGGGGTCGATGTGGGGACAGTCCGAGAATTTCTGCAGAGGTTTTCCTTTGCCCCTGAGGTTGTCGAAGTCTCCTTTGGCCATGGACTCCTGGATGAGGTCCTCCACCAGCCGTTCCACCGCTTGAGTTATTTTCACCTTCTTGCTCTCCCTCACATCTTTGGCTCTCATCAGGTCAGTCCCAGCAGAGCTGCTCTCCAGCCTGTGCTGCCGGTACTCCAGCACCTGCTCCGTGGCGCGGTCCACCCGGAACTGCCTGTACTGCTTTTCCCTCTGGCTCGGCGTTCCGATGCCGACCCCTTCGAAACTCAAGTAGTGCCTGTGCTGCAGGGATTTCACTTTGAACTGGTCCTCCTCCTCTTCGCCGCTCTCGCCGGGTTTCTGCTTGGCTGCCACGTCGCTGAGCACAACCCTGTAGGCCTCCTCCACCCTGATGAAGGCGGCGGGGTCGGCCGTGCCGGAGCTGCTGTCGGGGTGGTACTTCTTGGCGAGGGTTCGGTACGAGTTCCTGACCTCATCGAGGGAACATCCTTCCTCGAGCTCCAGGATTTTGTAGGAGTCCTTGACATCGCCTGTGGGTTTGTAAGCCGACAACATCCTGCAGAGAAACGGCTTCAGCTTTCTCGGGATCATGGCTCCCTGTGCCCAGGAAACGGTGCCCCATGGTGTTGGTCAGCACGGCACAAAGACACGGGGTATTTCTTCAGGTTACATTATAAACAGCCTACAAACACATTTGTGTTTGAACTGTGTTAAATATGCTTCTCTAAAGAACTCCCAGGATTTAAGTCTTATCTTTATCATATCATAGAATCATGGAATCACAGCACTTGGGTTAAAAAGGACCTTAAAAATCATCTCATCCCACCCCGCTCATTAAAACTACCACAAATGTAAATGAAAATTAATTCGCACTATAGTTTTCTTCTACAATGGCAGCACTGATTTGTTTTGCAGTGCAGAATTCCCACAAAGCATTTTTATTGCCTTTCATTTTTTGATTAATTATTTTATTGCCTATCAGCCAACTCAGAGCAGGGTAAACCAGAAATAGCCTCTATGCTGAGTGGTAACTGCTGAAACAAATCCTTCCCTCTTCCCCTCTGTACCCGCATTCAGCATTAACTGAATTTCCCACTCCTGTGGATCCCAGTGCCTCAACATGTACAACCTGGAACATTCCCAAAGGATGTCAGCACAGCACATTTTTGGTACTTCCCAGGAACGTCTGTAGCAGTGTTGAGGTTATACATTCATTTAGACCGGCTCTTGTACCCCAGCAGGGGCCAAACTCCTTCGCTGGTTCCAGGTAAGGCTGGAAACCTGGAAATGAGAACAGATCAATAGCGGTCAGTATTTCCCTCCGTCAGCAATTCCAATGCTTCGGGATTATTTGGGAAAAGAGCAAAAGGAACAGCTTATAAATCAGGTCTTTATGTAGGATCAAAGTAGAAGAATGTAACACAAACTGCACTCACCATTTAAACATAGCTAACTCCTCCTTTATTCACAGAAATAAACCCTAAGGGAAACGCTGGATCACTGGTGCTAAAGACTCGGGGAGGGCAACATCCCCTTTGCTGACTCAATTTCCAAACAAAAAACTAGGTCAAATCGAGGTTAATTAAGGACTGAACAGTACTTCTGTGTCCTGTCTATAAAAAACTGCCCTTTTGCCCCAATCCAGAGAAGGAAAAGGGGGAGTTCTTGGGAATGGATCAATCCTAAATGCTTTCAGCTGATTTTGATCTATGTCACTTGTTGAATCATCAGCTTCTGATAATGGACTTCATTAACAAGTGGGTTTTTTAATTTATGATATAGAGTAGCGATTTCTTTCGTTCTAAGTGTCAGACAAAGATAATAATTGAGTTTTATATAACCATATAAACCTGCGTCACTACTACTTAAACGGAGAGAACAGTGACTACATTCTTTAAATCAATTACTGATCAGCGACCTTCTCGCAGCTCTGCAGCTATTACTTTAATATATCTGCGCTTAAAGAACCGTGCGTGGAACCCCCGTTCCACCCAAAGGGAGGTTATCCCCGGCGGGGACCGGGAAGGGGAACCGGGCTGAGCCTCCCAGGACCCCCATCCTTCCCTCCCTCCCGGTCCCGCAGGGCGGGGGGGTCTCCCCGCAGCGCCCCCGCACCTGAGACCCCCGAGCCCCCTCGGCCTCACCTGAGACCCCCGAGCCCCCCCGGCCTCACCTGGAGCCGCCGCCCGGCCCGGGGCGAACAGGCCGCTAACGGCGGCGGGCAGGAGGAGGAGGAGGAGGAGGACGAGGAGCAGCAGCAGGAACGGCGCTGCCGCTCTCACCCCGCGCTCAAGGACGGGAGGGAGGACGGGAGGGAAAGGGGCGGGAACGGGGAGGGACGCAGGGAGGGAACGAGGGGGAAGGAGAGGAGACGGGGAAGGATAGAAGAGGCAGGGAAGGAGGAAAGAAGGGGGAAGGAAAGGACGAAGTAGAAAAGGAGGGAGGAAGGGAGGGAAGAATGGCGGGGGAGTGACAAGGAGGGCGGCGGGAGAGGGAACAGGAGAAGAGGAGCGGGAGGCAGAGGATCCCCCGCTGCCCCCGTTCCCCGCCGGGGGCCGCCCGAGAGCCGCGGGCAGGGCCGAGAGGGGCGGGCGCTGTGAGGGGACGGGCGGGCCGGGAGGGTGCCCGCGCTCGGGTCTATACACGTCCACTCCCACAGACAGACCCCAACCCCTTTTTAGGCTTTGTCCTCCCGAGGGTGTTCCACCTGAGCGGGGGAAGGATTCGCTGCCTCGTCCCGGGCTCGTAAAACAGCTTTGCCCGCACTGCGGGGCACGGTTCTCCACAGCCCTCGCCCCATAAGGCTTCCAGCTGCTGCGAGGGGCTCTGAGAGTCCATCAGGCAGCGACAGATGGAATATGGGGAAGAAATCCTTCCCTGTCAGGGTGGGGAGCCCCTGGCAGAGGTCGCCCAGAGAAGGTGTAGATGCCCCATCCCTGGAAGCATTCAAGCTGGGAACCTCTGGACCAAGGGAAGAGGGACTGGGATAAAAGGCAAACCTCTCCAGGCTCACCCTGCTCTCTGGAATTGAAGTGTGTGAGCAGTGAGGAAACGGCTCAGCCCCACCAAGCTGAACATCTTTCTGCAAGGAGGGTTTTGATACCCAGCAGAGACTTGTCAAAAATTAAAGCTGTTCCTCCCATTTTAGTCTCTCAGGTCCTGCTTTTTATTGCTGTGTGTGAAGCCAGGGGGTGATAAAAGTCAGCCTGGGCTGCACACAGAGGTGTGGCCTGAGCCTGCCCTGGCACAGCTCCTGTCCCTGTCCCAGCCAGCAGAGATGGGGGCCGGAGGGAAGAGAGACTCATCTCCAGATTTCCTGACCCTGTCTGCCCCTTGTCCAGCACCTCTCAGGAACGGGACAGCACCCAGGGAAACGGTAAAAGCCCTGGATTTCTTCTTGCCTCATTTCCCTGGCGCAACCACAATCTCCTGTGTGTCCAACACTGCCCGGCCCAAACCCGGCAGGGCCCCCGTGGTGACCGAGGCTGGACCTGCCCAATTCCTCACCCACGGGGACACCTTTGAAGCACTTTGGCCTAACTGGAAAATGTTCGGGAGTAGAATTATTTCACCCGGTGTGTCTGAGGAAACAAGATGTTCACAGCAACTGAAAGAAGGCGACCTTGTCTTAGGAGAAACAGTGTGGCCTGATGCGTAATGATTCATTATTGCAAAGGCTTTGAAAAACCAAAAGCAGCAACTTCCCAGTACGAATATTTTACTGAGGAAGAGTTCAATGGGATGTAAATGGACAATACATTCATTCTTAATTCCTTCTCAGCAACTTGAGGACAGGAATAGGGGAATTCTGCACAAGCTTTTCCCAGCGCCAAAGCCTTCCTGGAAAACCTGGCGCAGGTTCTGTGGCTGCGCCTGGACCCCTGGAAGTGGCCAAGGCCAGGTTGGACAGGGCTGGGAGCACCCTGTGCTGGTGGAAGGTGTCCCTGCCCATGGCAGGGGTGGCACTGGACGCGCACGGGGGGGGTGGGACCCGCCCCGGGGTCTGAGAGTCTGAGGGTGTGGGGAGCGGGTTTGGGCATGCAAGGAAACGTTCCAGAGAAGGGATGGCTCATTTAAAAGGAATTGGATCAGGAACAGGACAGAGCAAGGATGTCCAGGAAAGAAAGGGAAAGATGAAAAGCACTTTGTCTGGACTAGACCTCTTAAGTCCTCTTTCTGTTTTCAAGCCTCCTTTCTTGCCTTCTCTCTTCTTTTTCTCTGCTTTTGTTCCCGCAGGTGGTGGTAATTTGGGCTTCTAAATTTGTAAAACACTGAGGTTTAATACTGGTTTGAGAAATGCAAAGGTGGTGTGGGATAAAGGATTGTGCCAGTGCTTATTTGCTGCCTGAAATAAAAGCTCTCAGAAATGTTTCTGGTCTGAATTCAGTTTAGCCCTTATCATTGGTTTGAAACCAAGGGAATGTTCACCCGCAAAGTGAAAACTTGAGAGGCTCAGCTTTGAAAAACTGGTTGGTTTGAAATAATCTTGATGAAAATTTAAACTGCATCACTTTTTTGTTGGTTTATGGGAGTCCCATCTGGAGCCTTTCCAGTCTGGGCTATCTGTCTGGCTTGGTCAGATGAAGAGCTCTGTACTGGGACACAGAACTCCATCTTCATCTACTCCTCTGGAATTCTTTCTCCCCAGCCTGAAACTGCACTCTCTCGAGTGAACGTTGCACAACTTCTGAGCTGGACCTGCAGCAAGGGAATGATGTCGTGGGGGAAACGCCAGGGTGAGTTATAGAACAAATGCATGAGATCAGGAGGACTTCTGAGGCAGAACAGGGCCATGTGTGCAGGTTTAAGTGGAGTGTTTCTGTTGAGCTGGACACCAGAAAGCTGTGTTTTATCTTCATCCCTGAGTTCCTTTACCTGCCAGAGCACATGCAATTGCTCTCCCATGGGATCTGAGTGATAAACTCAGCTTTGTGACACCAAACTGGAGCTGTTTTTTCCTTTTTTCCCCCTAGCATTGAATCCTATTTACAGGGTGTTGGAGAGGGGCTGTTTGTGCTGTGAATGAAAGAAAATGAAGAGAGAGGAGGAGGAGGATCCACGTTGCCGAGGCTGTGGGGAGGACTCGAAGGGTGGGAGGCACTGAGGGATCCTGCTGGGGATCCTCCTGGAGGTGGGAGGATCCAGGGGCACAGGACGCAGGTGTGGCTGCTTCCTTCACTCACTCCCTCTCATCCTTGGCTTTAGGAGGTCAGCAATCACTTGCATCTGCAGCAGGAACTCAAGGAAGACCTCAAATCCTTCTGAAGGACTCCTCAGCCTTTTGTGTGGACAAACAGCAGAGTGTGAGGTGGTAAGAGAAAATAATCCAGGGATTCGTCCCTCTCCACAGCCTTTCCTCTGGACCAGCTGTCTCTCTGGCTTTCTTTTCTCCCAGCATTTTCTGCCCCTCTCTCCAGCATTTCCTCTGGACCAGCTGTCTCTCCAGCTTTCTTTTCTTCCAGCTTTTGCTTTGCTTTGCAAAAAGCATCCTCAGTGTCCTCGCTCTGATGTGGGATGGGAATGGGAGTTTTTCCAAGGGACTGGAGGCACTGCCTGGTTTCACTCTCTACCCAGTTAGGAACTTAAATTCAGGGACTTGAGAAATTAAGGGGGGAAATTGCTTTTTATGAGTAGCAGTTGTAGCGTACTGGAGCTTTGCAGACAATGCCTGCATTAGAGGCAGAGCAGTTGTAACCCTTTGCTTTTAAATTCACAGCAACTTCCAGCAATTATTTGTCAAACAGTGACAAGAGCAAGGACAAAGCCTGAAACAGTGGTTTAGTTACACAAGATAAAGTGTATATATTAGATATATTAGAAAATTAAGATTATAAATTAAATTAATAATAAAATATTATAAAATATAAGAAATTAAATAACCCCCGGAAGTCTTCAGTCCAATGTACTTGGGCAGTTCAAGAATGATGAAAGCTATGGAGTTAAATCTGATTTTGTGTTGGGGTAAGCTGTTGTAAAACTGTCTGAGGAGCTCCAGAGATGCCTCTTGATTTGTCACAGTTCTCTGAGCATCTTTGCTGGAACATCATCCCTCGGTGTTGCCATTCAGCTGCCTTTGGGAGCTGTGCGATGAATTTCCCAGTGGCTGATTCCCTGGGAGAGCAGAGCGGGCAGTGCCTGCCAAGCTGGGCTTTATGGGCCCTGGGATTTACGATCCCTGTCCTGGGCAGGGACTGGTGCATCCACCAGCATCTCCCTCAAAGGCCACGTTCGGGGGGGCTCTGCCTGACATTTGCCCGCGGTCAGCACATGCAGAAAATGGAGTTTGCAGATGTGACCTGTGATAACATTGCTGAAATAAAGCCCAGCTCATTTGCCAAGGAACGTTCTGAGGAGCTGCTTTAAATGTCACTGTGGCAGTGAGATGAACAGTGGTGATTTTATGGAGCTGCTGCTCTGCTGGGGTTTCTTCTCAGCAACTGTCAGGGTGTAAAATCTGCCCTGAAATCCCTCTGCCATTCATTCCCAGGATGCTTGCACTCTTCAGATCTCCAGGGTTGACCCCAGTGGTCAGATTGAAATAGATTTATTAAATATTAAGTGGAGTTATAAATGATACATTTCTTTACTGTGTATTTCTTTATTTATAATTTCTTTATTATATATTTATTGATTCTGTATTTATGTATTCTATATTTATTATAAAATAGTATAAAAATATGTAATAAATGTATTTATTAGAGCTTTTGCACTCTTAAAAGCTCCTAGGCTGATCCTAGTGTTCACATTGAAATAGACTTATGAATATATCTCACCTAAAAAATCCAATGCGCAGGCTGGAAGGTGGAAAGACTTCTACATTTCTTTGTCGCGTATAGACTATGCTACATTTATTAATTCTATATATAATTCTTATTTATTTGTGTAGGAATTTATAATAAATGTATTTGTTAGAGCATTTGTAGGACACTTTTAGTCCTGTCCGGTGTAGTTGTGCAGAGGACTTGATGAGACCTACTGATGGCAAGATAATGTCCAGCCTGGGGACACTGAAGAGATGAAATCTTGACTATGTTAGAACAAGAGGGGAAAAATTCCCAGTGGTTTTGTTGACAGTTTTTAAACCAGATGTGCCCGATGTGTCCACCCAGTGGCACTGCTGGTCAGTGCCTTTTGGGATCGATGGCCAACAGGTGCCTCTCTAACTCCAACTGAGTTGATATCGCTTCAAAATCCCAACTGGGAGGTCCAATCCATAGACTGGGGGGTTTTTACCTGAGTTTGTACAATAAATAGTGATGTCACTGAACAGTTGTGGTCACACAGGTTGATGGAGGTGATGGTTGTGTCCCACAGTTGATGGAGGTGATGGTTGTGTCCCACAGGTTGATGGCCCATCGGGTGCTGGTGATCGGCAGTGGGGGCAGAGAACACGCCCTGGCCTGGAAGTTGGCGCAGTCCCCGCACGTTAAACACGTGTTTGTGGCTCCAGGGAATGCGGGCACGGCCAATGATGGAAAAATCTCCAACTCAGGTAATAGGGGGGATATCAAATAAAATCTTGTGCCAGGCCACCAGTGCTGCTGGTGCAGGAACTGAATCAAAGCTGCCCACAGTGGTCTTGAGGTGGTGTGAGGTAACAGTTACTCTTTCCTTTTACTGGTGCCACAGATTATTTACAGGCCCATATTTATTTTTTTCAGCGCTTTTTTTTCTGGAAAACCCTGGAATAGAGGGCTGAAAGCTCTAAATTCTGCATAGAAACTCCCCTGGTGTTTGCCCAGGCTGCCCAGCTGAATTCAGCTCCTGCCCTGGCTTTGAGTAAACCTTGGCTCAGATGTTGACATGGAATTTCCTTCTGAACTTTTATTTTTCAATGCTGTTATTGCTATGATAAGCAGCTTTTAAAAGTTTATCTTGATTACATGTGACAAATAAATAAAATAGATTTAATAAGTTAGCAATGTGTATTAAAAACTGCAATGCAAAGTGGAAATGTTCACCGTTCCTTTTGGACTCTAATTATTAAATTGTTGTTTTATTTTGCCTTTCATGGGCTGTTTCATTATTTTAATCACACTTTTAGGGAGATGGAACAAAGGTATTCTCAGCTCCTATCTCTTATTTAGGCTTTACAGTGATCATTTCATTATATTCCCTTTTCCTTTTCAGCTGTCTTGGTGAGCAATCACACAATTGTCACCCAGTTCTGCAAAGATCACAACATTGGACTCGTGTTGGTTGGAGAGGAAGCTCTGCTGGCAGCTGGTAAGGCTGAATAAATTCGTTTGACACAACAAATCAGTACCCTAAATTCTGGCTTGGAATGGGGGGGTAACTGTGGCAGTGCTTGGTAACGTACAGAGCTAAAGACCTCTTAAACTGCGCCACAAAGCGGGTCATGGGCGTTCAGAGCCTCATTTTAAGGATTAATTAATTATTTGAGACAAGGAAAAGTGTACCAGAGCTGGAATGATGGTGGGAGTTTCCTTTTGTCAAGTGACTTCATGTTTGCAAGGGCTCCCCTTGGCTCCTGTGCTGTTTTTGCTGCTTAGGGATTGTTGATGACTTGAGGGCAGCAGGAGTTCGGTGTTTTGGCCCGTCTGCCAAGGCGGCCCAGCTGGCATCCAACACCAGTCTGACTAAAGCCTTTCTGGAGCGGCACGGGATCCCAACAGCGCGATGGAAAGCCTTCAGCAACGCCCAGGAAGCCTGCAGGTTTATCATCAGGTGAGTTTGGGCCACTGGAAGCTCCTCTGACAAGTTCTCTGTGCGTCTGGCCTTCACTGGGGTGGTGGAAGGCCCTGCAAGTGTCCCAGGCCAGGATGGACGGGCTTGGAGCAGCCTGGGCGAGTGGAGGGTGTCCCTGCCCATGGCAGGGGGTGGAGCTGGATGATCTTTAGGGTCCCTCCAAACCCAAACCAGTCTGTGACTTTATGATTCTGTGAACTGAAGCAGGTTGGTTTTGTGTTCACAGATCCCAGATCTACTTCCCTTCCATCAGCTCCTTCAGGATGCTTAACAAGCCATTTAAAAGACAAAAAAATTACATTTTTCTGATATGTTCTTGTTCTTCAAGCACTTGGGGGGGAAAAAAGTAAGGCTATGGGAGGCACTGAGGTGCAAAATGAGGGTCTCTCTGGATGCAGAAGCGGTGCCTGAACCTCCCTTTGCTTTCCTAAAGCACGGACTTCCCTGCGCGAGTGGTGCGGGCGAGGGGCCCTGCGGCCAGGAAGGAGGTGACTGTCACAGCCAGCAAGGAGGAAGCCTGCAGAGCTGCCCAGGAGATCATGCAGGTGGATGAATCCCCAGTTAACCACCGGGAATCCAAGTCAGGATGTTCTGTAGTCTGTGAGTTTGTCATTCCAGCTACAGGAGGCAAATACTTTGGGGAGGAACCTGCCCATTTGAGAATCTCTCTGGGTGTCCTCCTCAGATTCCTCCTGTGTGCTCCAGACAGGGCTTGGAGATTTTGGGACTGAACTCCTGCTCCAGTCCCGAGTCCCACTGCCCTGCTCCTCCAAATTTGAGTCTTTCCTTGGCTCCCAGGGCCTGCCAAAGTGCATTTCAGTGTGGCTTCCTTGTCTCTCAGTGAAATGCCATTGGCTTTGCCCAACACAAATGGGGACTTCTAAGATACCCTGTTTTTTCTGTTGAAAAGAAACTGAAGAGAGAATTTGGCCAATGGATTCATGTTTGCTAACTGGGCATTTGTTTGGTTTTGGTTTGTTTTTTGTAGGACAGAATGTTTGGAGAGATGGTTGTTATCGAAGAACTTCTTCAAGGGGAAGAACTTTCTGTATGTGATCGATGGGGTGATGTTGTGCTTTTTTTTTTTTTCATCATTGCTCTGCTCCTGCATAAACACATGAGTTTTTTGTTTCAAATAGTTGGTCTTTTGTTTTATTTGCACTTTGAGAAATATATACATGCATACATTGCTTAGATTGCATGTTATATGTATGCAGTGTGGTGTCATACTAATCAATGCACGCTGTCCTAGGTTTCTCTTCTACATTAACCATAAAATGGCAAGTATAGCGATAATTTTCAGTGGGAAATGATCTTTTTTTTTTCCCCTAAAGAAACCTAAAATATGTTTGTGTGGACTTTGTCTTGGTAATTGGAACAACTTGGAGCAGCCTGGTGTAGTGGAAGATGTCCCTGCTCGTGGCAGGGAATGGAACAAGATGAGCTCTAAGGTCCTGTCAACCCAAACCAGTGTGGGGTGCTGTGATTGCTGCTTTCCCAGCAGCACTGAGCTCCAGGCTGTGAGCAGCAGTGGGTGTGGCTCAGGCCAGGACACTGTCACAGTTGCTGTTGTGTTTCTCCTCGCAGTGCTCGTGTTTCACAGACGGCGTCACCATCGCTCCCATGCCCCCGGCACAGGCCCACAAGCGGCTGCTGGATGGGGACCAGGGCCCCAACACTGGAGGGATGGGAGCCTATTGTCCAGTGCCTCAGGTAGGGCCCTGCTCCTGCTCAGCCTGTGCTCCAGGGGTTTCCTTTAGGCCCCAATCTTACAATCACCGAATGTCCTGAGCTGAGGGGGGCCCTAAGGATCATCCAGTCCAAGCCCTGACCCTGCCCAGGACACCCCAACAATCCCCCCTGTCCCTGAGAGCATTGTTGAAACGCTCCTGGAGCTTTGGGGCTGTGCCCACTGTCCTGGGGAGCCTGTTCCAGTTCTTGTTTCTATGCAGATTTCTTCTGGGATTGATTACAGGGCTCAAACATTAATAATTATTCTTTAGGATTTAATTAATGTAGCCAGTGTCCTGTGGAATGGCCTCTCTTCTACCTCTTCCAATATTCCCAGCCTTGGTGTTTCTCTGCTCCCGTTTGCATCACTTCAAAAATTCCTGCCAACTTCCTTGTGTGCCCAGGGTCTCTGTGGACATAACCTCGGGGTTCTTGGTGCTTCCCAAGGCTTTGCAGCCTTGCTCTAAGAACGCTGCTCGCACACATTGTTGGTGTGGCTTTCTCCAAGCCTTCCTGTGTACAGCCCAGATTGCCAGTCTCAAAGCTCCTTAAGAACCAACCACCAAACCTTGGGAGGCAGAGGATTGGTGTGTCCATCCTTCAGGCAGCAGCAGCCTGAGGGAAGGAGCTCACAGTTCGGGGTGGGACAGCAGCAAACAGGCCGTTCTTCCCCTCAGTCCTTCCAGGACTGAGCAAGTCCAGCCGATGTCACCACTGTCCCAACCAGTTTGATGTTGTTTTCAGGTTCCAGAAGATCTTCTCGAGCAGATCAGGGGTGCAATCCTCCAGCACGTCGTTGATAGCATGAGGCAAGAAGGAACAGCCTATGTGGGTGAGTAACCACTCAGCTGAAAACCAAGGTAAATCCCACCCAGGTAAGTTCCGTTGTCAGAGGTTGCTTCTGAACTCCAAATAATATTGGTTTAGAAACCAAACCAGTAGCAGTTCATTTTTCATGCACTATTAAACCTCGCTCATTTGGTTTATAACTCTTCCTTTGGAGAGAAGAACCTTGGTCTTTTCTCCATGAAACGCACTAAATTTTATTGAATATTTTTAATTAAAACATATTTGTGGTTCAGGACATAACATATACTTAAGTTCAGTCATACTGTTCACTCCAGTGTACATTTTCTTCACATCTTTATGTGAAAGTTGCTCTGACAAAGGCAGGTGATTCCCACAGAGGTCACTCAGTGCCTTGCTCCTAATTCCTTATGATTTGATTTGATTTTAATTTATGATAAATTATGATTATTAATTTATGAACTTAATCCCACATTCCAAAATACTGTGTTGCATTCCAAGGAGTCCTTGAAAACAATAAATATTTCAATCCCTTTGCTTGGCTGTGTTCCCTCTATCCAGGTGTGCTGCAAACAAGTTTAATGCTGACCAAAGAGGGGGTGAAGATTTTAAACTTCAAGTGTCAGTTTGGGGATCCCCAGTGCCAGGTAAGTGGAACATACCGGAAAATTAAAGATGCTTCACACTTTTATCTCTGCCTGTTGTGACATCTCTAGGGAAAGACCTCAATACAAACATCTTAGACGATGTATGAGATAACTTTAAATTTTGGCCGATCAGCTCCTGTGAATTATTAGTTAAAGGCTTTAAGTTAAAGAACTGTTCCTCAAATTTTTGTTTTTCTGAGTAGAAGCAGAATGGGAGAGGCCTAAATTCATGTTCCTTCGGCACAAGTTCGCATCTCATGTGTCCAAACTTATGGTGCCAAAAGGTGCTGCAAATCAAACGCTCACCCGGTTTCCCTGGTTCTGCTGGTTCGGCACACGCAGATTTTATTCCACTGACTGAATTTCCCCTAAGCTGAACTTCGGCAAGTCGGCAAAGTAAAACTTTGAAAATAAAAATAAAACTGTGAAAATTTTCAACAGGTAATTCTTCCTCTGCTCAAAAACGATCTTTACGAGGTGATTCAAGCAGCGATTGATGGCAGACTGTGCAGCTTCACGCCAGCCTGGTCCGAGAGCAGCACGGCCGTGTGCGTGGTCATGGCCAGCGCGGGATACCCCGGGGATTGCGACAGGGGCAGGGAGGTCACAGGTAACCCTGGCAGGGCGTTCGGTACTGGGGGGAAAAACGTCACATTTGGGGTGTGGGGCTGGTTGGGAGGGCGAAAGGGCAGATTTCGGAGGCTGAGGCAGGTTTGGGGGTGAAAAGGCGGATTGGGGGGGGGGGAACTTTGGAGTCAGAAGTGTGGGTTTTGGCGATCTGGGGCAGATTTTAGGGGGAGAAGAGCAGATCTGGGGGTGGGAGGAAATCCTGAAGTAAAAGGGGCAGATTTGGAGGTGAAAAAGGCAGGTTTGCAAAGGGAATCCTGAGGTAAAAACCAATGCAAATTTTAGAGTGTGGGGGCAGATTTTGGGGTGCAAAATGCTTATTTGGGGGGTCTGAGGTGGATTTGGGGTGAGAGGCAGATTTTGGGGTGTTACGAGACATTCGTGAGGTAAAAGAATTCAGATTTGGGGCTGAAAAGGGGAGGTGTGAAGGGTGAGGAAATCCTGAAGTAAATGGGTCAACTTTAGGGGTAAAAAGGGTAAATTTGGCAATGTGGGGGGACCTTTCTGAGATAAAAATGCAGATTTTGGGGTGTTGAGGCAGATTTGTGGGTGAAAGGGGCAGATTTTGGAGTGTGGAAAGACATTTCTGAGGTAAAAAATTCCAGTTTTGGGGTCTGTGGCAGATTTTGGGTGGAAGAGGCTGATTCTGGGGAGTGGAAGGAAGTCCTGAGGTAAAAGGGGCTTATTTTGTGGTAAAAAAGGCAAATTTGGGATGTGGGGGACACTTTTGAGGTAAAAAAAGATTTTTAAGTGAGAAGAACAAAACTGGGGGGTGGGGACATTTCTGTGGTGAAAGGGCAGATTTGGGGAGGTGAGAGGAAATTCTGAGGTAAAAGGGGCAGATTTTTGGGTTAAAAAAGACAAATTGGGGGTTTTGGTGACCCTCCTGAGGTAAAAAATTCAGATTTTGGGGTGTGGGGCAAATTTAGAGTGGAAAAAGGCAGATTTTGGGGAGTTAGAGGAAATTCTGGGGTAAAAGGGGCAGATTTGGGGGTAAAAGAGGCAAAATTTAGGGGTGTGTGGGACATTCCTGAGGTAAAAATTTCAGATTTTGGGGTCTGTGGCAGATGTTGGACTGGGAAAGGCTGATTTTGGGGGTGGGAGGAAATCCTGAGGTAAAAGGGGCAGAGTTTTTGATAAAAAATCAGATGTTGGGGTGCTGCAGCAGGTTTGGAGTTGAAAGGGGCAGATTTCAGGGTGTGGAGAGACATTTCTGAGATAAGAAATTCCCATTTTGGGATCTGGGACAGATTTTGGGGTGAAAGAGACTGGGGAAGCTGGAGGGATATTTTGAGGTGGAAAAGGCAAACGTGGGGTGAAAATAGCAGGTTTTGATGTCTGGGTGGAGGTTTGGGGTTGAAAGGGGAAGATTTTGGGGTGCGAAGGGCAGATTTTTGTGCCTGGAGGGAGATTTTGAGGTAAAACAGGCAAATATTGTGGTGAAAAAGGTGGATTTGGGGTGAAAATGGCATGTTTTGGGGTCTGGCAGGAGATTCGTGACTAAAAAAGTTGACTTTGATGCCTGGAAGGAGATCTTGGGACAAAAATAGGCAAATTTGAGGCAAAAAGAGTCAGATTTGGGTTAAAAAAGGCAAAATTAGGGAGAAAAGAAGCAGATTTGGGCTGAAAAGGGGCTGATTAGGTGTAAAAATGGCATTACTGGGGTGAAAAGGGCAGATTTTGGGGTCTGGAGTCAGATTTGGGATTTAAAAGGCTGATTTTGATGTCTGGAGGGAGATTTTGGTGGTGAAAATTTCAGATTTGAGGGTGAAAAAGGCCAAGTTGGGGTGACAGAGACCGATTTGCTATTCATACAACTATTCAATATAACTATTCAATATTCCTATAGATATCCAATATTCATTTGCTCTGTTAAAATTCTGGTGGTTCAGCATCTCATGAAGATTATTAAGAAGTTTAAAAGCTGTTGCAGAACTCCTGCCTTGCCAGTCCCACAATATCCTTGTGAAAGGATCTTCTGTCAAGGCCACCTGCTTTTTGGCAGCACAGCAGTGACCCTCGGTGCTCCTGGGAGAAGGTTGTTGTGTCCATTTTCCCTGTCAGGATTCCTGCTGCCACCTTCTCCTCCCTCACTCTCCTTCTCTCCCAGGTCCCTCACTGTTTCCTTTGGTTTGTCAGTGAAATCCTGGGGAATTCTGCATTTCTGTGACTGTAAAATCCAAGCCACAGACCCGAATGAATCCTGCTGTTCCCGAACTGCCTCCCACTGCTGGGGTGTCCTGTGCAAGGCCAGGACTTGGACGGGATGAGCATTCTTGTGGGTCCCTTGCAGCTCAGGGTATTCTGTGATTCTATGATTTTAATGGCTCGACAAACATTTTATTCTGGAGTATTCCATAAAAAAACAACGGGAAGGGGATGGATTTCCATTGCAGCAAGGCCAGCTGGGGCAGTGTCACACACTGTGCCTTCCCCAGGTATTTAAGGTCCTTTTTATTGCTTAGAGAATCTGTTGAGCTGTAGTGATGAGAAAACTGTGTTTGGTTTTGCTTTTTCCAGGTGATGGCAGCAGTTCCTCCTTTTCCTTTCTCCTCTCCTCAAAATAAGAATATAAAAACTCCCCTGTTTTGCTTTTTTGTCACAGAGCTGTGAGTGTCTGTGGAGCACCAGGGGTTGTAGGGATCTTGTGCAGTGGGTACCATTGCCACTGATGGTTTAATGCCAGGGAGAGGGGAGAATCCAGGCAGTAAATGGCTCTGGGTTGTGATTTCCTCCAGGCAAGCCCTGCTCCAGTTACTCACAATTCAACACACAGCACAGCTTTCCCTGGCACAGGGCAGGGATACGTCCTGAGGTGGCTCCTGGATCCCTCATTTCTGCTCCGGTGGGATCTGTGAGTCCCCAGCACAGGGAGCACAGGGAGCTGCTGGAGAGAGCCCAGAGGAGGCACCAAGAGGATCCCAGGGCTGGAGCAGCTCTGCTGGGAGGAAAGGCTGGCACAGCTGGGATTGTTCAACTGGACAAGAGAAGCTCTGGGGGGACCTGAGTGTGGCCTTGCAGGGCCTGAAGGAGCTCCAGGAAAGATGGAGAGAGACTATTTCCAAGGGCTGGAGGGACAGGACAAGGGAATGGCTTCCCACTGCCAGAGGGCAGGGACAGATGGGATATTGGGAAGGAATTGCTGGCTGGGAGGGTGGGCAGGCCCTGGCACAGGTTGAATCCCAGAGAAGCTGTGGCTGCCCCTGGGTCCCTGGAAGTGTCCCAGGCCTATTCAAATGTCTGCCCTGGATTTATTTATGGCCTCCAGCTGATTGTACAGCGTTTCCAGCATTCTTCTTAGGTTTAGGTCCAGTCAGCAGAACAGAATGAGTTTGGAATGTCTCCTTAGCAGTACAGGCAGGGCAGGTGTTGGAGGGGCTTTTTCTCAACAGAGCAAGACAGCTCAGTTAACTCTTTTAGGCCTTGCTCTCGATCCAGTAGAAGCTTTATTGTTGTCCTCCCCTGACTGAAAAAAGGACTTCAGTCATCACTGTTTTGCCCAAAGAAGGGCACTGGAGCTGGGAAAGGGGCTGGAGAACATGCCCTGTGAGGAGCAGCTGAGGGAGCTGGGGGGGTTTATCTGGAGCAGAGGAGGCTCAGGGGGGACCTCATTGCTCTCTGCAACTCCCTGACAGGAGGGGGCAGGGAGGGGGGGTCGGGCTCTGCTGCCACATCCCAAGGGAAAGGAGGAGAGGAAATGGCCTCAAAGTGCCCCAGGGCAGGGTCAGAGCAGAGATCAGAAACAATTTCTCCCTGCAGGAGTGGTCAGGGCTTGCAAGAAGTGTCCCAGGGAGGTGGTGGAGTCCCTGTGTGTGGGAGTGTCCCAGAGGTGTCTGCATGTGGCCCTTGGGGACGTGGATTAGGGGTGATCCTGGTGGTGCTGGGGTGGGACTGGGTGATCCCGAAGGGCTGTCCGAGCCTTGTTTCTGTGTTTCTGTCAGCAGAGTGTGTGATCTGAAATAGTCAGCGGGTTCCTCTTGTTTTGCAGGGCTGCTGCAGGCCGAGGCGCTGGGGCTGCAGGTGTTCCATGGTGGCACGGTGCTGAGGGACGGCAGGGTGCTGACGAGCGGTGGCAGGGTGCTCTCCATCACCGCTGTCAGGGAGGAGCTGCTGGAAGCCCTGGCAGAAGCCAACAGGGGTGCAGCCACCATACACTTCCAGGGAGCCACGTACAGGAGGGACGTTGGCCAGCGGGGCCTGCGGCTGCTCAGACAGCCCCTGTACGTGAGCAAAGGCCCTGGCACGGATGGGCCAGTGCAGATGTTGCTCTCTGCTGTTCTGGGGGGGATGGCCCTTGCAGAAAATGTCCCTGCTGCTGCCAGCACGTCCCTTGCTCCCCACAGGGCTCTGATGTACAAAGAGCGACGCGTGGAAGCCGCAGCCAGGGACGTTCTGTTTCCCCTGCCACAAACATCAGTTGGAAGTGGTACCAGATCAGGTAAGACTGGGAAGAATATTTGAATTTCCTCAGTATTTTGGATGAAACAACAATTTTTTTCTCCCCAGGAAGTGAGCAGTGCATTCGTGGCACTGAACTTGAGCTGGGGAAGCTGGGCTGGGGTCACCACAAAGACAGAAAAGTCTCATTTCTTTCTTGTCACTCCTCTTAGGATTAATTAAAAAATACTTGGCTTCCCATGGAGGTGATTGTGCTTTGTCAAGGTGCTAAATAGAAAAGAATAAAATAGAAATAACAGAATAAATAAATAAATAAATAATAGTTTTAAAAAAAAATGGAGCAAAGGAGGCTTAGGGGGACCTTCTGGCTCTGCAACTCTCTGACAGGAGGGGGGAGCCGGGGGGGGTCGGGCTCTGCTCCCAGGGAACAGGGACAGGAGGAGAGGGAACGGCCTCCAGCTGTGCCAGGGGAGGCTCAGGTTGGCCAGGAGGAGGAATTTGTTGCTGGCAAGGGTGGTCAGGCCTTGGCAGGGGCTGCCCAGGGAGGTTTGGAGTGCCCAGCCCTGGAGGTGTCCAAGGCAGGCCTGGCCGTGGCACTCAGTGCTCTGGGCTGGGGGACAAGGTGGGGATGGGGCACAGGGGGATCCATGGGCTGGGAGGGCTTTTCCAGCCCCAGTGACTCTGGGATTCTGTGCTAATTTGCAATTCTTGTCTTGATGAGGGTCTTGGGTCTTTTTATTTCCCGTGGAAATGATCTTGGTGTGTTTGTACTTGGCAGGCAGTCGCTCAGGACTGGGAGGCTTTGCTGGTTTCTTTGACTTGAAGGCATCTGGTTATGAGGATCCCATCCTGGTGTGCCAAACTAAAGGCCTTGGAGCTAAACTGCAGGTAACTTGTAACTCAGCCAGTCAGACAATCTGCACCCTCCTGAGCACCCTAAATACACCTGAGCCCACTGCAGTGGGCATCTGAACTTTGGAAGTGATCATTTGAGCAAGGCCTGTTCCTGAGAATGTGGATATTTGGTGATGAAATTCTGATAAACCAAACATTTAGCTGAGCATTTGAGGCTCTAAGAACCAGGATTTCTGTCCCTTGGCTTTGAGAGAGATCCGTTCAGGGAGGGTTGAAATGAGAGCTGCCAGACTCAGCTCAGCAAACTGTGTGTGGAGAGGGAGCACAGGTACCTCTGTCAGGGCACTGGGGAAAGAAAGGAGGGAGGAAATAAACATTAAAGGGGAATAGGAGCCCAGAGATGAAGAGTTTTAGTAACCCAAGGACACGTAGGATAAGTTGAACCAGGGATATATCTTTATATTGAGTCAGGATAAGCTGAGCCAGGGATATCTTTATGTATTGAACCAGAAGGTTTTCAGCCACCGGAAGAGTGGGGACTTGAAGCTGCTCTCACTGGTCAAGCCCAGCAGCATCACATGTTTGAAGTTGGTGTTTGTCCCTTTAGTAACAGGGTGATAAACAGCAGGAGACTGCAGGGAATCATCCAGAAGGTCTTTTGCAGTCTTACATCCCTGGACACCTCTGAGCATGAAAAAGGGATCAGTGCTGGCTCTTGTGAGTCTTTGTTCCAACTGCTTGGCAGAGAGACATTCCCAACTGTGTTTCCACAGGCTGTTCCCAAGATTCTTCCTTGACCAAAAAAAAAAGTTGGCCAATGGCTTTAGGAATTGTTCCTGGAGCAGTGGGAGGGAGGTGTTGTAATGTACCAAAGCATGAGTGGTTTCCATAGCACTCCTCCATCCAGCAGCCAGGGAGATCAACCAGGCCTCTCATCCCACCCCAGACTTTGTTCAGGGCCTGCTCTGTCACACTTTGAGCTCACTGATATTTATGTGTGTCTTCCCCGTGTCCATCTTCCTGCACAGGGGAAACCAGCTTTCCTGAGGGAAATGTTTGTGCTTTGTGCAAGACCTTCCAGTGCCCAAAGGGGCTCCAGGAGAGCTGGAGAGGGACTTTGGATGAGGGCCTGTGGGGACAGGACACAGGGAATGGCTTCCCACTGCCACAGGGCAGGGACAGATGGGATATTGGGAAGGAATCCTGGAAGTGTCCAAGGCCAGGTTGGACGGGGCTTGGAGCAACCTGGGCTGGTGGAAGGTGTCCCTGCCCATGGCAGGGGGTGGAAGGAGATGAGCTTTAAGGCCCCTCCCAAACCAAACCATTCTGTATAACCATCTAATATATGATAATATTCCAAAAAGCAAACAAAAAACCCCAACCCAAAATGATGATTTCTGGGTAGCTGGAGCCAGAATTTGAACCAATGTTTAAAATAGCAAAACAGGTTTTCCTTTTTGTCTGCAAGAAATGGAGCAGTTTTCTCTTGAGGAGCGGTTTTCTCTTGATTTCAAGTGGTGATGCACCAGGCTCTGCCCTGCACTGGTGTTCTGTGGTGGCTCCTCTCAGGCACAGGAAGGTTTGTGCTGCTTTGCCTGGTTAATACGTGAGTTCTGCCTGTTCCTCCTTCCTGTGTTTTGCAGATGGCACAAGCCTGTCAGAGACACAGCACCCTGGGGCAGGACCTGGTGGCTCTGTGTGTCAATGCCCTGCTGGCCCGGGGAGCAGAGCCCCTCTTCTTCCTCAGTTATTTCACCTGTGGCAAACTCGATGCTGAAGTGACTGAAACGATCCAGGAAGGAATAGCTGAAGCCTGCAGGAGTGCGGGATGTGCTTTCCTGGGTAAGAACACTCCTCTCCTTTGGGATTTGAAGGTTGGGGTTGAAATTATCACCAGAGAAATGGACTCTGGAGGCAGAGGTAGCACATGGCACTGGAATTGTTGGGTTGTGTTTGGTGCAAAACCAGCTTTTGTGCTTAAATTCTTTCTTATTTGTAAAAAGGGTCAGTGCAGAGGGATGGTTTTCACTATTTGTGCATTTGGACCCCAGTTCTTGCTCCTTTATCCTTGTAAAAAGCAGAACAGAACTGGAGGCTTCCCATTCTTCAAGTGTTAATGTTCTCATTCCCTCTCTGATACTCAGTCCTAACCAGGAGGTGCCACATAAGTACATGAAATAATAATTTTAAAAAAATGTTTCTTCTTTCCTGGAGCTTTGTTGGAGTCTTGAGGTGAAGTAAGAAATCAAGAAGGACTTTTAAAATTTTTCTGAAAGTGCTTCTTTGGCTGCGTGTCCTGTGGCTCTCCTGGATATCCTGGTGCTTTAGGAGGTGCCATAAATTTAAAATGGTCTTAAAATAATGGCCTTAAGCTGAAGGAGGGCAGGGTTAGATGGGATATTAGGAAGGAATTCTTCCTGTGAGGGTGGTGAGGGACTGGAATGGGATTCCCAGAGAAGCTGTGGCTGCCCCTGGATCCCTGGAAGTGTCCCAGGCCAGGTTGGACGGGGCTTGGAGCACCCTGTGCTGGTGGAAGGTGTCCCTGCCCATGGCAGGGGTGGCACTGGGTGGCTTTCAGGTCCCTGCCAGCCCAAACCCTTGGTGGTTCTCTGAGTGGGAGATGAACCCCCTCCTTGCAGGCAGTGCTGATGCCTCTCCCCGCAGGCCTGGAGGTGTCTGAGCTGCCGGGCTCGTTTTCCACGGGGGACTCGGACCTGGCCGGCTTCGTGGTGGGCGCGGTGGAGCGAGGGCAGGTGGCCCTGGGGCTGCAGAGAGCAGAGGAGGACGATGTGCTCCTTGGAGTGGCCTCCCCCGGGATCCACGGCCGTGGCTTCGGCGCCGTCCGGAAGGTTCTCCTCGCGTCCTCCCTGCGCTGCTCGGCCCCCGCCCCTGGCGGCTGCGGGGACACCACACTGGGTACGGGGGGTGTTCCACGGCCAGAGGGGTTTCACAGCAGGGGCTGATCGGTCCGTGGGGCTGGCACGGGGGTTGTGTCTGGCTTTGGAAGTGGGCCAGCACTTTTTTCTACTGCCCAGCTTTGTCTACCACAAGGACTGGGAGAGAACCTGGGCAGGGGAGCACTTCCAAAAAACACGTTGTGACCCTTCAGATAAATGGACTGAGTTCAGCCTGGAGAAGAGAAGGCTCTGGGAAGATCTTAGAGCCCCTTCCAGAGCCTAAAGGGGATTATAAAAAGGAGGGAGAAGGGACTGTTTATATGGCCAGAGAGAGACGGGATGAGGGGGAATGGCTTCCTACTGCCAGAGGGCAGGGATAGGTGGGATATTGGGAAGAAATTCTTCCCTGTGAGGGTGGGGAAGCCCTGGCACAGGTTGGGCAGAGAAGCTGTGGCTGCCCCTGGATCCCTGGAAGTTTCCAAGGCCAGGTTGGATGGGGCTTGGAGCACCCTGGGCTGGTGGAAGGTGTCCCTGCCCATGGCAGGGGTGGCACTGGGTGGGCTTTGAGGTCCCTCCCAACCAAAGTGTTCCATGACTGATTCCATCCAGCTGCAGACCTTTCAGACCAAGGCACTGAGCTGGCACTGTTGTCTGCAGGAGAGGCCCTGCTGAGCCCAGCCAGGCTGTACAGCCCAGCCCTGCTGCCCGTGCTGCGCTCGGGCCACGTGAAGGCCTTTGCCCCCATCGCTGAGGAGGGGCTGCTGGGAGGCATCTCCAGGATCCTGCCGGAGCACGTCAGCGCTGTGCTGGGTACGTGTTGGAGCTCAGCGCTGTGCTGGGTACGTGTTGGAGCTCAGCGCTGTGCTGGGTACGTGTTGGAGCTCAGGGCTGTGCTGGGTACGTGTTGGAGCTCAGCGCTGTGCTGGGTACGTGTTGGAGCTCAGCGCTGTGCTGGGTACGTGGAGGAGCTCAGCGCTGTGCTGGGTACGTGGCAGAGCTCAGGGCTGTGCTGGGTACGTGGCAGAGCTCAGGGCTGTGCTGGGTACGTGGCAGAGCTCAGCGCTGTGCTGGGTACGTGTTGGAGCTCAGGGCTGTGCTGGGTACGTGGCAGAGCTCAGGGCTGTGCTGGGTACGTGGCAGAGCTCAGTGAGCCTGCTTGGCAGAACTCAGCCTTGGCTCCCCAGCTTCCCTCCTACAGACACTCAGAAACGGCGCTGTCTGAAGAGCTGCGGGTGGGATGACCCCAAGTCAGTGCCCTTCCAAAGGTCCCACCAAATCCATTCCCATTTCAAGTGCCATCAGCTTGTGAGCACAGCTCTTGCTGGAGAGGGGAAATTCCTGAGGAGTTTGAAGGCAGCCTATCTGTAGGACAAGGGGTGTTGGGGAAGATGGTGCTCCACAGGACACTCCACCCTGAACGCTGTGACCAGAGAGGCTTGTGGAGAGCGTTCATTTGCACCACTTGCTCCATGGTACTTGTGCTCACACACGTTTGGTGCAGGTTTTGGGGAGGCAGCACCTCCCACAACAGCCTCTGACATCCCTAAGTAAGGCAGAACTTCTTCTGTTGAAGCCAAAATTGGGCAAAGTATTCAGAAGTTCAAAACAGTAAAGAAAACCATGTTCATGTGAGTCCAGAAATACTGTGGGGATGGGCAGGGGGAGGGAAGGTGTCTGTACATCTGACTGGATCTCTCTAGAATGAAATGAGAATTTTCAAGGCCAGGTTGGACGGGGCTTGGAGCAACCTGGGCTGGTGGAAGGTGTCCCTGCCCAGGGCAGGGGTGGCACTGGATGGGCTTTGGCGTCCCTTCCAACCCAAACCATTCAGATTGGACACCAGGAAGAATTTTTCCATGGAAAGGGTGGTCAGGCCTTGGGAGGGGCTGCCCAGGGAGGTTTGGAGTGCCCAGCCCTGGAGGTGTCCAAGGCAGGCCTGGCCGTGGCACTCAGTGCTCTGGGCTGGGGGACAAGGTGGGGATGGGGCACAGGGGGATCCATGGGCTGGGAGGGCTTTTCCAGCCTTGGGGATTCTGTTCCAGCAAGAATGAGTCTCTCAGCTCTTGTAACACCCCACTATCCTGGCAGATAATAAATAATAGCTCGTGGCAGATATTTGTGCTGCTGACACACAAATTTCACTCATTTTCAGACGCTCTCAGCTGGAAGATCCCTGAAATCTTCTGCTGGCTTTACAAGGAGGGGAACCTCTCTGCAGAGGAGATGGCCCAGAGCTTTCCCTGCGGGCTGGGGGCGGTGCTGGTGGTGCAGCAGGACCTGGCCCAGCACGTGCTCGGGGCCCTCCGGCGGCGTGAGGAGGCCTGGCTCATCGGGAAGGTGGTTGCCCCTTGTCACACAGGTTAGCAGGGGCCAAGTGGGAAGTGAAGCCCCAGAAACGACCCAGAGCATGGTTTGCTCTCACTTCAGAGGGGTTTGCACTTTGGGAGGTGTCATTTGGTTTCAGAGTGGTGAGTTGTTTTGAGGGTGGTTCTGGGAAGTGCTGAGTGAATTGCCCTGGGAGGCATCAGGAGTCTGCAGCTCTGGAGGCCCTGGGACTCCCTGCTGCAAAAGCTGTGTGGTTCACATCTCCTTCCCGTTGTTTCACCAGGCTGGAGGCTCTTTGACACCTCCACATCCACATTTCCTTACCAAATAGTGAGGGGTGAGTGTTGCTTCAGAGTGACAGCACCTGGGTAAGAGGTTACCCAGGTACCTTCTGGAGGCTCCAGAAAACCCCTCACATGTTAGTTGATATTTTACCACAGTCCTGGTAATCAATTAATTTCCTTCCCAACCCACACAGATCCATGTAAAGGTTGAGGATCTGTGTGTCTGATGAGCTGTGTGTGGTCTGTGTGACAGCAGCTCTGAAGACTGAATTCTGGTGTGTCCACTGGCTGACATCCAGCATGGTGTGAGCCAAAATCCCTCTGGAAACCATTTGGGCAGCCAAAATGTCACCTCAGCTCCACCAGCATGGGTTTTAGTGCTACATGAGGGGAAGATGGGAATAGCAGATGGGGCCAAGCCTTGAGAGGACCAGGCCATGCCCAGGCCCTTTGAACAGCTCTGGGAGTGAGTAACACAAAAGGGATCAGCACAACCCCTGTGAGCTGGGCTGGCCAAGCAGTGAAAGCCTTTGTAGTTCCAGCAGTGCCAGCAGAAATTCACTGCTGATACACCTTCTTGTCCTTGAAACTTATTGTTAATAAACCCTATTCAAGGTTATATTCAACAGGGTGAACTCAGGCTGCAAAGTCAAGCCTAACTCTTTGCTCCTGTGTTAGGAGGAGGTTCCCACATCCAAGTGGAGAACCTGGTGCAGGCCCTGCAGCTGGGCAGCCCCCAGGGCCTGCTGGGGGACACCACAGTGCACACTCAGCACCAGCCCAGGAAGGAGAAGGTGAAAGTCGCAGTTCTCGTCTCTGGAACAGGTGAGCTCCCATCTTCTGACACAGGAGAGCTTGGGCTCAGCCCTGACCCAGGTGCACCCACCTTGGCTTGCCTTCGGTAGAGCCTCCAGACCTTGTAGAACCAGGGTTGCTCTTTGGCTGGAGTGCAGGGTGTGTGTTGTGCTGCTTCCATGAGCTGTGTCAGTGCTGCAGTTCCTTTGTGCTGCCTGGACAGTTGGGAAAACCACAGTTCTGTTGGCTGAGCGGGCTGGGAGCTCGTCCCAGTGCCTGGGGGCTCACGTGTGTCCCCCCTGTCTGCTCTGTGTGTCTGAGGCACGGCCCTCCCTGCGCTCATCGCTTACACCAGGGAGCCAGGCAGCTGTGCCCAGCTTGTCCTCGTCATCTCCAACAAGTCTGGTGTGGAGGAACTCCGGAATGCAGCCCGGGCTGGAATTCCCACCAGGGTAAAGACACCCCACCCTTTTCCTTTTCCTTTTCCTTTTCCTTTTCCTTTTCCTTTTCCTTTTCCTTTTCCTTTTCCTTTTCCCTCTACCACCCCTGCCATGGGCAGGGACACCTTCCACCAGCACAGGGTGCTCCAAGCCCCGTCCAACCTGGCCTTGAACACTTCCAGGGATCCAGGGGCAGCCACAGCCTCTCTGCCCAACCTGTGCCAGGGCCTGCCCACCCTCCCAGCCAGCAATTCCTTCCCAATCTCCCATCCCACCCTGCCCTCTGGCAGTGGGAAGCCATTCCCCTTGTCCTGTCCCTCCAGGCCCTTGTCCAAAGTCCACCAAAGTGCCTCTCCAGCTCTCCTGGAACCCCTTCAGACACTGGAAGGGGCTCTGAGGTCTCCCCAGAGCCTTCTCTTCTCCAGGATGAAAACCTGTGTCTCATGTTGTGCTGAATAATCCCAGAATCACCAAGGTTGGGAGAACCCTTCACTGTGATTCACCCAGCACCACCAGGATCCCCCCTAATCCATGTCCCCAAGGGCCACATCCAGACACCTCTGGGACACTCCCACACACAGGGACTCCACCACCTCCCTGGGACACTTCTTGCAAGGCCTGACCACTCCTGCAGGGAGAAATTGTTTCTGACCTCTGCTCTGACCCTGCCCTGGGGCACTTTGAGGCCATTTCCTCTCCTCCTTTCCCTTGGGATGTGGCAGCAGAGCCCGACCCCCACCCTCACTGCAAGCCCTTTTTAAATCCTGGAGTGCCTGGAATGGATCCAGTTTGTTTCTCTTGGCTGCCCAGGTTGTTCTCTCAGTCCCACCAGTCCCTCCCCTCATGGTTTTGCTCTGGGCTGTTCCAGGTGATTGACCACAAGTTATACGGGAGCCGCTCGGAGTTCGACGGCACCATCGACCAAGTGCTGCAGGAGTTCGCTGTGGAGCTGATCTGTCTCTCAGGGTTTAGGAGGATTTTGTCCAGCCCTTTTCTTCGGAAATGGAGAGGTAAGAAAGTGTAAGTGTAGAAGAGAAACTAAGCCAGGGATGGGGGTTCTCCCCAGGACTGCCCTGCCACAGTTCTGTCCTTTGGTTAATCCCTCGGCCTTGCTGGCACTGAGGGCATTCCCTGTGCTTCCATTCCTGCTGGCAGTGGGATTGTGGCTCTGGATTGGCACAGAACCCCCTTGTGCTGCAGCAGGAGTGACAGAGGGGCAGAGTCAGGGCATGGAGTGGCTCTGCTGCCTCCCCTGGGAAGGGCTTTGATCCCATCCTTTGCCAAGGAGCTGTGCTGGGGGGGTCCTTCTGAACTCACTCCCTGCAGTTCCCCCTCAGAAAAAATGGGAGAGGGACTGATTTTCCCTGGAAAAGCAGGATTCCCTCAGACCAGACCAGAGGTGACTGAGTACTTTATCTCATCTCGCTTATATTTTTTAAGGAAATTCAATTCAAATTATAATTTTTTCTCTTTTTCTTCTTTTTTCTCCTCTCTGATGTCCAGGGAAAATTTTGAATGCTTCTCCATCCCTTTTCCCACTCATCAAGGATGGAAATGCCCCTCAGGAGCCCCCACAGAGTGGATTCAAGGTCACAGGCTGCACCGTGCATTTTGTCCTGGTGAGTGTCCTTAGGGAAAGGACTTGGCTTTTTCCCTTTCTGCTGCAGGCAGAGGTGGCAGGAACAGCTGGAAACCTCAGCGTGGGTACCACTGGAAGATGTGGGTTGTGTTGTAGTTGGGGTTTCTTCCTTTGTATTTTGGGGTGATTTTTGCAGTTTCTCCCGCTCTCAGCACTGCCCAGAGTCTCCAGCCACGTCTCTCCCTGTCCCGCTGCAGGAGGAGCCGGGCCCCAGGGCCGTGATCCACCAGGAGCCCATCGCGGTGCGTGCCGAGGAGCCGGAGCAGTCGCTGTGGGAGCGGCGGAGGGAGGCCGAGAGCCGGGCCCTGCCCGTGGCCCTGCAGCTCGTGGCCAGCGGGGCCGTGAGCCTGGCAGCCGATGGGAGAACCTCCTGGAAGCGGGAGAGCCGAGGTCTGGGAGTGCCCGGGGACAAGGGAGACCGCACGTCCTCCCTCGTGGCTCCGGAGCCTCCGGAACGCGGCGGGGAGTAGGCAGGGCACGAGGGGCTCGTTCCTGCTCACCTTCCCTCCTCCCTCCTGCTCCTGAGCTTCTCTCTGATGTATCCACCTCTCAGGTCTCCTCTCCCAACCTTTTCCCTCAGCTCACAGCTTTCCTTACACTCCTCTTGCAAAACCGGTGGTGGAAGCCAAGCTGAGTTTTCAGATCTGGAATTTCTTGGTTGTGTTCTCTGGTCTGTGAAGGACAGGACGAGTCACAGGGAGGGCTCTGGCTGTGAAACTGCTCCGCTGCTTCCCAGGGAAACTCCTTCTTCCAAGGGATCCGCTTTTGTGGCTGCAGCACCCAGCAGAGCCCAGGGGGCTTCACAGAACAGCCCCAGACAGGGACTGCTGCTCTGAGAGCAGGAGAGAGATGTGGAGCTGCTGGAGAAAGTCCAGAGGAGGCCAGAGTTGATCCCAGAGCTGGATTCCTCTGCTCTGGGACACACAGGGAGAGCTGGGGGGGCTCACCTGGAGAAGGGAAGGATCCAGGGAGACCTGAGAGCCCCTTGCAGGGCCTAAAGGAGAGCTGGAGAGGGACTGGGGACAAGGCATGGAGGGACAGGACACAGAGAATGGCTTCCACTGCCAGAGGGTAGGGTTAGATGGGATACTGGGAAGGAATTCCTGACTGTGAGGGCAGGGAGACCCTGGCACAGGTTGCCCAGAGAAGCTGTGCTTGCCCCAACCCAAACCATTCCATGATTGTCGGTGTATCTGCCAGAATTGTGACCTTCATGCAGGTAGCAAATCAGGAGGAAAGCCAGAAAAGCCAAAACAGAAATGAAGTAGCCAGAGCTGAATTTCCAGAGGAGTCATTTGATGCAGTGGGAAGGATACATTCCTGTTGTGGTGGTGTGTCCTGGCAGGGCCCTGCTGTGCCTGTGCTCGTGGCTGTGTGGGAGCAGCATCAGCTCCAGTTCCAAAGGCTGAATTTTCCCTTTTAATTCTATGTTGTGGCTTTACTGTGCCACGTGGGGTTTGATCCTCGGGGAGGGCAGGAATTCAGGTCCCTCCTGTCAACTGCCATTCCTGGGCAGAAAGCTGGATTTGTCCCTTGCACTGCAACCACTGGAGCGAGGAAGGGGCGTTTTTCAGGATGTGGGAGAAATAGGAAGAGCTGCACCCAGGCAAGGTTATGAAATGTTTGGTATAGAGGTAACTTTGCTCATCAAAGCACTGCTTGGTTTGTGTTTGGTCTGTTGTGACTGTGGAGGAGCTTCCTGCTGTATTGACGGGACTGCATGGCTGTTCCCAAGCACAAATAAAATGCTAAAGGAAGAGGGTGCTGGTTGTGCTCTGCTGGGTCTGCAGCTGATCCCAGGGCTGAACAGCTGGGATTCCTGTGCTCCTGGCTCCCCTGGGGTGGGTCTGGTGAGACTTCACTTAACAGTTTGTTCTTTTTCTGCATTTGTAGAAATACAGAGAGGTCAGAGGGGCTTGGGACAAGGGATGGAGGGACAGGACACAGGGAATGGCTTCAAACTGCCAGAGGGCAGGGATAGATGGGATATTGGGAAGGAATTGCTGGCTGGGAGGGTGGGCAGGCCCTGGCACAGGGTGCCCAGAGAAGCTGTGGCTGCCCCTGGATCCCTGGAAGTGTCCAAGGCCAGGTTGGACAGGGCTTGGAGCAGCCTGTGCTGGTGGAAGGTGTCCCTGCCCATGGCAGGGGTGGCACTGGATGGGCTTTGAGGTCCCTCCCAACCCAGACCAGTCTGGGATTCCCTGAAATCCCATTTGCCATCGGCCTTAGGTGGCAAAATATCTGTGTGGATCAATGTGCCTGTGAGGCAGTGGAGTGTTGGACTGGGGGTGGTGGATTTGGGGGTGATGCAGTGGGGTGATGGATTTGGAGCCTGTGTATGTCTTGCCTTTCTGGCAGTGATCAAACACCTTTGATCAATAATGTGATGCTGGTTTAAGGTGATATTTATTCACTGCACAGGCAGTGATTTCAGCCCTCCAAGCCTTTGTTTCTCCTGACTCCCCTCCCTGCCTGGAGCAGGCCTGATGCTGTGTGACCTCCCCTGCCCTGCTCTCCAGCAACATCCCCTTTCCCAAACTCCTCCAGCTTCCTGGTAAAGGAATTCCAAGCAAATATTTCTGGATTGATTTTTTTTTTCCCTTTATTAGACCTTATTTTAAATCCAAAGGAGATTATGCCAACATGGAAGTACCATCAGGACATGAGAGCCCAGACTAAAATCAGCTTTCTCTGTACTAAGGGGGAGCTCTAAAGCACATCCTCAGCTCCCTCTGCTGTGGGAGGGAAGGCTGGTTCCTTTAGTGAGTACATTAAAATGGTTCCAGAACTGCACTAAATGTGGAAAGAAAACCACAGGGGTTGAGCTGCCCCAAAACCCAGACTGTTTTCCAGTGGTCACAGTCACCTCCTGGAACAGCCTCAGCAGTCCCATGTGTGGCTTTCTCTGGATTTGATTTGAATTTGATTTGAACTGGGTGTCCATCAGTGTTACTCCAGGTGAAAGCACTGCTCCAAGAATAAAGGCATTTCGGAATTCCTGAGGAATGTCTCACAAACCAAGGAGAGGTTTTTGTGTCAGGTCTTTCTGCTCATTTTAGAAACCCAGAAACCCGAGTGGTTTGGTGCTGGGCAAATCTCTGAGGGGAATTCCTGGGCCTTCCCGTGGGAATGCAGAGGGAAAAGGGGCAGCAGACACTGAATCCCATTGGCATCTGACTGACAGCAGTGCTTGGAATTCCGGGATGTATCAAAGAGCTGGGCCAGACAAGATCTCCCACCATCAAACCCAGAACTAGGTGTAAGGAACCCAAGAGCTGGTGTTTTGGGGGGTCGGTTTTTCTTGGTTTGCCCGAGGTTTTTAGGAGTGAAAGTTTCTGCCTTTCCCTTCCATTGTACTTTTCCCCCAAACACTGCCCAGCAGAGCCCAGGAGAGCCCCTGGCCCAGGCTGTGGCTCTGCCAGGGCAGCCCTGCTGTCCCCACGTCAGTGCCAGAGGGCTCAGCTCTCCCTGGAACCACTGGGGGGGTTTGGTTTGTTAGGAAAGCAACGGAGACCTGAAATGTTGGCCAAGGAAGTGATTAAAATGAGGAAGCACCAGAGCCATTGCTGCACCTCCTGGAACAGCCTCAGCAGTCCCATGTGTGGCTTTCTCTGGATTTGATTTGAATCTTTACCCTGGTGAGTGAAGGGAACGCTGTCCGTGCTGTGGGTCGCTCAGGGCCCCCAGGACATCCCTGGACGTGCTGCTGCTCCTACTTCCAGGAGATCTTGCCCGCCTCCCCCACGCTGACAGCCCCGCTGGCCACGAGCTGCAGGGCGGCGGGGAAGGCCCTGTGCTCTGCCTCCTTCACCCGCTCCGCCAGCGTCTGCTCCGTGTCCCCCACCTTCACCGGCACCGCCTCCTGGAAGATGATGGCTCCGGCATCCACCTCCTCCTGCGGGAACAGCCACGCAGGGCACGGGCTGTCACGGGGGTGACACGCACTGGGGTGATGGCAGGGGGAGGAGAAGGTGCTGGAGCCCATTTGGGCCTGGGAAGGGTCCAAGGGAAAGGAGGAGGGAGCGGAACCCCAGGAACAACAGCTGTGCTCCAGAACCCCCAAAGGCCTGTCAAGCAGGGACACGAGGGGCTGGAGTGGGCAGGATGGTGGCATTTCAATCCACAAGGGGAAGGAGCCAGGCCCTGGCACAGAGCTGGGAAGGATCCAGCAGATCCTGGGGGAAGATCCCTGCGGGTCAGGGATTGTTCCTCAGGGCGCTGCCACGCACAGAAACCCCAGGCCATGGCCCGGAGAAAGGGATGCAGTTTTCCCTTCCAGCTGGAAAAATAACTCAGGCCTCTTTTACCCAGAGAAAGGAAAAGTCCTGAGGAGAGATTCCAGCAGCAGTGGAAGAGGGAGCAGGAGGGGGGAACCGAGTTCCCCTGAACCCTGAGCTGAACAGGGTGGAACAAAAGCTCCCCTGCCTGAGAAAAACGTGTCTGAAGCTGAGACATCTCTGGGCTTGGTTTGATGAAGTTCTGACCCACAGAAAGTGTCAAGTTTTCCAGCTTCTCACAACGTTTCCAGTGGGGTTTTTTGGGGGGTTTATTTTGGGAGGTTTTCTTTTGTGGTGTTTTGGTTTTTGTTTGTGGGGTTTGTTTGTTTGGGGTTTTTGTTTTGTTTGTTATAGTTTCTCTTTTTTTTTTTTTGAAAGCAACAACCAAGGCAGGTTGTAGGAGAAAATCCAAGCAGTTGGGGCTGTGTTCTGTAAAGACTCTGGCTTAGCCAAGGCCTTACATGAATTAGTCCCCCCACTCCACAGGGTGGAGGGGAGCAGTGGGAAGCTCAGGGAAGAGTTCCCTTGGGGAGAGCTTAAACTCCCAGCCAGCCTCTTCCCTTCCAGTCCCTTCTGCAGGGCCAGCAAACCAAAGCACTGCCCTGCTCTCTGAATCGCTGTCAGACAGAGCTACAACACCCTGGGGGAACAGAGGGGTGAGGGGCGTCACACTCGGGGGCTGAGGGGGCTCCAGGCAGGCCCTGAGGGGCCCTGGTGGGTGGGTGGGCTCAGGGAGGGGTACTCTGAGGGTCCCTGGCAGGGGTGGGCTCAGGGGGGGGTACTCTGAGGGTCCCTGGGGGGTGGGCTCAGGGGGGGTACTCACAGCCACGAAGTGCACGGTGCAGCCGGTGACGCGCACCCCCGCCTGCAGCACCAGCCGGTGCGCGTTGGCCCCCTTGAAGGACGGCAGCAGGGACGGGTGGATGTTCAGGATCTTCCCTGCAAGAGCACGGGGGGTTTTACTGGCCCTGAGCACTGACCAGGGTGTGCAAAGCCCCATAAACCACAGAGGGGTCAAATCAGGCCAGGTTCTGATATCCCAAACTGCAGTGCTGCCCAGTTGGGTGGGTTTACGCAGACCCAAGGCAGCTCCTCTGTCAGGAAGGGATTCCCAGGGGCTGGAAGATCACCTCTCCCCAGCCAACACCTGCCCTGCACCTCGTGTTTGCAGAGCTCTAAAGTCTTCACAGCCT